GTAATCTACTTTGTGTCTCTGTGGGCTTGTCTACTCTAAACAGTTTATGTAAATGGAATCATATAATATATGCTCTTTTGTTTCTGACTGGATGTTTTCATCTCACCAAGGAAGAGATTTGAGACCAGAGAGGGAAAATAACATTTCTACGATTGCACGGTGGAGGGAAGGCTCTTGGTTCTCACCCCTTTGTGCTGCAGCCCTCTGCCTCTCCCTATCCATGGTTCAGTACGATGATCGTGCCATGACTTCTTGGAGGGAGGTTTGAGCAAACGTGTTATCAATAGGGCACTGCTGTTAGTCATGTTGAGGTTCTTCAAGGAGTCAGTGTGGATGTGGGCACTGTACATCAGTGTGTGGTTCAGGACACCTACTGTGTGCCAGTCTCAGAGCCCCCAGGGATCTGCTAAGTTGGGTACTGATCCTTAAGGGACACCCAGTTAGGAAAATAGACATATTGAAGATGATTTTGGGGTGTTGACACAGTAGTGTAGTGGGGAAGGACGCTGGGCCCAGACCACGTCTAGGAAGCTTGAAGGTTGGAAAGAAGCTAGTGGGCAGTGAGCTGGCAGAAGGAGGCTTAGAGTTCAAGAATGGGAGTCCATAACCACATTCTGTGAGTTCATTGGTAGTGAGAGAGGGTGATGTGGGCTATGGAGGTGTGGCTCCAGGTGTGAGTTTGGGCCTGGTCAGCCACTGCAGTGGATATCCGAAGTTCTCAAATGGTGTACGGCTGGGTGGGGGCAGAGTAAGAAGAGCCCTGTTTGGTAATTGAGTCTCAATGGGAAAGTTAGGCTATACCGTAGAGGTATACATTGAAGTCAGCATCTAAGTAGTGACAGAATTGAAGAATCACAGGTAGAGGCATTAGGAGACTCATCCCAGAGACTATAATGAGTCATGCCATGGAGCATCTCAGCCCTCTTCCACCCACTTGCTCAGTAATGTGTCTCTTATTGAGCACATGTTATGTGTCAGGAACTGTTGTGGTCCTGAGGTTATAGAAATGAACATGTCAGACAAGATCCCTGCTCCTTTGAAGTAGATAAATATGATAGTGGACCATGGCAGGTTCTGCTAGGAAAGGGGCCTTTGCTGGTGAAAGTAAGGTTTCAGAATCAGAAGTGGCCTTGGTCAAGAGGTATTGTTTCCTCTGAGCTCTCATTGCTAAGAATGCCTCATCCTTGGCAAGATATAGGGAAAGAATTTTTGTTATTTGATTTTTTTTATGCACTAGAAATAGTAAATGCAAATAGCATTGCTGTGTATTGAGGGGATAGCCTCTGGCCACTAATAGAGTATGCTTGGCTTTGCTAAGATGTTCTCAAGTGCCCCAGATCAGACAAAATATGTATCTGTGGAAGCCTGGTCCTACACACACTGTGCCGGGATGCGGAGCAGAGAGGAGACCATCAGCTTGGGGGAAACAAATGCGTATTTAAGTAGAAGAAACAACATAAAGTCCCTCTGAATCATTTAAAGTAGGCGTGCATTTATACTTTTCTAAAGGGAAGCTAAAATTATTTTTTTTTGCTAGTTTCCAGCTAATTCTGTTGTATTTATGAGTGTTGTGTCATTCAGAGAACTTGGAAACATTCATTCTTCCTCCTACCAAATTTGTGGAGTAGGTGGGAGAGTTTAAAAAAGCTTCCCAAAACCTACTTTCTCTGCTTATGGGTGCAGGAGGAGGAAGAGGATGCGCTGGCATTGGGACCAGGGCAGAAAGAGCCACACTAGTCTGGAGCCTGTGAAAGCTTCACTGAAGTCCAGTCCCTTAGGGTATCGGCACTGGTGATAGCCCCTGTGTCCCCAGGACATCCCTTTCAAGGCTAAAAAGGGGTTATGAAGTGATCTTAAATAGGATAGTGCAGTGTGACATGAAAACAAACTGGGAAGGTGAAGTCCTTAGATTTCAAGTTGGCCAGCCTCAAGGCTGGTTGCAGGTTGTCTCTGGATTTGTTGCTGGTAGGAGAGAAACATCTGCCATGAGCTGGGGAAGCAACTCAGGCTTGTATTAAGAACAAAGAGAGAACAGCCAAGTCTGGCTGGGTGGCACAAAGTTTGGGGTATAGCTTGACAGAAACCAGAGTTTTGAGGTACTGTACTGGGATACGTGACTGGCAGTCAAACTTGAAAACAATGAACAGCACCAATAAGAAGGCAAAGCAGGATGGTATGGATCCTTGTCCGTCTAGGGGCTGGAGAAAATGCTTTGCTAAAGTAGATGTAATCCGTGCCATGAAGGAGAAGTGCATAGGCTTCTGAGGAGATCTGGGCATGAGGCTCCTGTCAGCTGGAAAGGGTGGACTGATGGGCTAACATTCGGTAGCAATGAGGGTGACTGAGATGGCTTTACAGCAGCTGGCACTGTGGTCTTGGAATAGAGTAGAAGAGAAGAGGGTACAGATGAAGGAGGTGAGGCCCCAGGGTGTCTGGCAGGGCCTGAAACAAAAACTGTCATGTCTTTTGAAGCACTGGACTAGAGAAGTGTCTTATTTTAGGCCCGGGTATGTTAGAACTGCAGGAAAATGAGTGAATTGTTTAAATTGAGGGCTACCAGAGGGGAGGGGGTCCTTTTGCTTTCCACAAACTCCCCGCTACTCCACACCCTTCTAACCTTGATTTCTGACTCACGTGGAGGATACTTAGGTTGAAGTGGGGTTCTGAAAGTGTCTCCTTGTTTTGTTGGAGGAGAGTGAGGCTTGTTGCTTGGCCTCTTGTTCAGGAAGGCTGACCTTGGCTAGCTGTGGATTTCTTGGGATTCTGGGAGTGTCTCCTTGTTTTGTTGTAGGATAGTGAGGCTAGTTGCTTGGCCTTTTGTTCAAGAAGGTTGACCTTGACTTTCTGTAAATTCTCTGCTGTTGGATTTCTGAAGGTCACCCGCTAGCACCTGGTGACCTCAGGAAGAGATCTCTCCAGGCTGGTCCATTCAAGGAAGCAGCTTGCTCCAATCTGTCATCTTTGTGGCACATACATTTACTTTGCCATTTTTGGCTTGGGATGGCTGAAGCCATTACATTGACCACAGAGTGGAAATCTGCACCGAGAAGTGCTCAGCTGGCTTGGCAGCCTTCCACACGTCACACTCGTCCGCAGTGCTTGTCCTTTGATGGGCAGGAGGACCTGGTCAGAATGCTTATGTGCTGGATCTGTTCCTCGAAGGCCATTCGGTGGCTGGAGAGTGCAGATCCTGTGGCTTGCTGGAAGGGGTAGCTGCGTGGGTATGTAGAGATGCGGGTGGACTGCTGGGACAAGGCAGCCCGAGTTCCATCTGGGAACACACAGACTGGGGGTATGCCACTAAAAGGAGGGAGGCCTGCCTCACTCTTAGTTGCCATCTTCGCTGCCGGCAGGCATTCTGTCATCTACTTAATGGAGTTAAGCAGCGGGTGTCGTGATGGAATAGAAATTAGATGGACATACTGAGGACGAGTAAATCTCCTGCAGAGGTCCTGGTGCTTTCCTGGAGGATGCTGAATTAATGACCTTGAGGAGATTATTTTGGAGTTTCTGCGCTCCTGGTAAAGTCCACTCATCTCCAGCTGCCTGCCAGAACCGCCCATGGGAGTGCTTTGTGTTGCCAAACCAAAAATAAGATTATTTTTATTACAGTCTTTTTAGTTTTCCAGGTGATTTTCATTTTCAGTCAGATACAGAAACCTGCCAAACCTTTGCGGTTCTAGTGAAATTCTGTCCACCATTCAGGGGGACTGTGCCTGGCGTCCTCATACTGCATCTGTTCCCACCCCAACCGAAGCCTTCACCTCACATTTGGCCTTTCCTCTAACTCTTTAAACCCCTTCCCACGCCTGTCCCCCACCGTGTGTGTGTGTGTGTGTGTGTGTGTGTGTGTGTACATATGTGTGTGCGCATGTGTGTCAACATTGGCTGTCCTTTTTAATCACTCTCCCCCCTTAGTTTCTGATACGGAATCTCTCACTGACCGTGGAGCTCACCAAGTCAGATAACCTTCCTGGCCAATGAGTCCCAGGGATCTTGCTGTCCCCCTGACCCTTCCTCCAGTGCTGGGATTATAGAAACTGGCTACCAGGCTGGTTTTTTACATGTAGGTTCCAGGCATCCAAACTCAGGACATCAGAGCTGTGCAGCAGACGCTTTACTGATGGAGCCCATCTCCCCAGCCCTTGGGTTTCTCCCTTTAAAACTGTCTTTTATATTTATGAGTGTTCGCCTGCATGTGTATATGTGCCTCACGTGCATACAGTGCTCCTCGAGTCCAGATGAGGGCCTGTGATCCCCTAGAACTAGAGTTTCAGATGGTCGTAAGTCATGTGGGTGCTGGGAATTGATCCAGGTTCTCTACAAAAGCAGAGACAAATGAGGTGGTGGGGACTGAAAGCAGCAGTTCGCTGTGCAGAGAAAGCACAGACTGCTAGGGTTGGTATTCAGAGCAGGCAAGTCTGCTTGTGAAGGGTGGCTACTGTTTACTACACGATCGTCACTGTCTGACAGGAGTGTTGACTGTGTTTACAGATCCTCTGATCTGTTTAGCTTTCAAAGAGAAGCCAAAAATGTGAGGTTCACCGTCGTCGTCATCATCATCATAACTTATTACTATTGTGAGCATGCGCGTGTGTCTAAGTGCGCACACATGGAGCCATCTTGCAGGCCTAAGATGTCTGAGCTTTTATGCGACTTTCCTGAGTTTTAACTTCAGGCTCACAGAGTTCCAGGACATACGAAGCAGGTGCAGTGTTGTGCCTCTGCAGGTTAAACGACCCTTTGCTTTCAGTTTGCGACCCTGTTGCAGATGATCATCCTTGCGTCTGAGATCCTGTCACTGTTGCGGGAGCCATTTCCATGTGTGAACTGAAGATTATTGCTCTATTGTGGGAAATGGAACCAAGCCAGGGATTTAGACCGGATGAGAACCATGCGGGCTTTGGGTCTGAGCGGAGTGCCTGCCAGGTTGAGGAGAGATTCCTGGGGTAAAGCAGTGTGTTTGTAGTATACTCATGGTATTTTATGTGTTATTTCAGGAATTGACATCCACTGGAAGAATCTGCAACCCTCTCTCTGCCCAGAGCTCCAGGACCAATGTGTCTTCCCACCGCTTTAAACCACTGGTGAGTTAAGTGTTTTTCTTCTGTTGCAGTGAAGAGACATATTGACCTTGTACTGTGATCTCCAGATAATGATGTTCATCTCTTGTTAGTTACTTTTCTGTTGCTGTGATAAAACACCATGACCACAGCACCTTCTAGAAGGGAGGGATTATTAGGGTGCATCGTTTAGGAGGAATAAGGGTACATCATGGCAGAGAATTGTGGCAGCAGGTGGCAGCCATGGTAGCAGGAATAGCTGAGAACGCCTATCTCCAACCATAGGTAGCAGGAAACAGGGAGTGAACTGGGAATGGCTTGTGGCTTTGAAACTTCAGAGCCTGCCCACAATGACATGCTTCCTGTAGCAAGGGCACATTTCTTAAACCTGTTCACACAATGCCACCCACTGGGCACACTTCTTAAACCTGTTTATACAATGCCACCAACTGGGTACACTACTTAAACCTGTTCACACGATGTCACCAACTGGGGATCAATGAGGGATAGTCTCATTCAAACCACCACAGCTGAGTTTAGGCATGTCTAGGTTCTGCCACTTTTACAGAGGGATCTGGAATAATTGTGTGGTTTCTGGGGTTCATCACAGCAAAATAAATCCCGTCTTGTTTACCCTGCAGAGTTGCTTGCTTTGAGGATTAGATGTTTGTGAAAACACTTAAGGGAGAGTGAGGTGTGGGCAGAGACAGCATTCTACCCTGGGTTCTGAGATACAGTGGGCAGAGACAGCATACTACTCTGGGTTCTGAGATACAGTGGGCAGAGACAGCGTGCTGCTCTGGGTTCTGAGATACACTGGGCAGAGACAGCGTGCTGCCTTGGGTTCTGAGATACACTGGGTAGAGACAGCATGCTGCCCTGGGTTCTGAGATACAGTGGGCAGAGACAGCATACTACCCTGGGTTCTGAGATATGGTGGACAGAGACAGCGTACTGCCTTGGGTTCTGAGATACATTGCAGCTCTTCTCTGTCACACACGATTTGCTACTTTAAGCAGCTTTTCCCGGCTTCCCAGATGTTGAAAGAAATAGCTGCTAGGCCCAGATCACTGCAGCCCAGGGCCTTTCCTGTGATACTCGTGTCCACCTTCACCTGCTAGAGAGTCAGGACACTAAAGCCTGTCGCATTTGAGTTAACTAGTACATTAAACGGAAATAACAGACATTACCCTCACATGTGTACAGGTTGGTAATGTGGGTTTGAAATACTTGTTTTCTAAGACCTCTAGGGTGGTTCTTTAAGATATTTGCATTTTCTTTTCTTTCTAAATTTGTTACTACCACTCTAATTCTGTTTTATATTTGCTATTTTCTTTCCGTTTTTGGTTTTTTGAGACAAGGATTCTCTGTAATATCTCCATCTGTCCTGGAACTCTTTCTGTAGACCAGGCTAGCCTCAAACTTACAGAGATCTACATTGCCTCTGCCTTCACAGTGCTGGGATTAAAGCCACCCCATCCGGTTGTATTTTATTTTTTTCAATGTTTTTTCCTTTATTTAATTGAAAATATTTTTTTCATACAATATATTCTGAATATAGTTTTCCCTCCTTCAGCTTCTTCCAGGTCCTCCTGACCCACCCAAATCCATACTCCTCCCTGATTAGAAAACAATCAGGCATCTAAAAAATAAGAAAATAAGATGAAACAATAAAAAATCCAAACCAGAATAGAAACAAACAAAAAAAGAGCCAAAGAAAAGGTACAAGACAGACATACGGATGCAGAGACAAACACATTCACACACACAGAAATCCTAGAAAGGCTCAATGTTGGAAACTATAATATATAAACAAGAGACCTATAAGGTTAAAAAAAAAAGCTCAGATAAAGCATTATGAGACAAAAAAACCTTCCAAAAATACCATTGAGTTCACTTTGTATTGGCCATCTACCGCTGGCCTGGGGCCTGCCCTTGAGTGAAGCAATTAATTTTTCTTTTGCATAGCTGTGCTTTTTCTTTTTTCCTTCCTTCCTTCTTTCCCTCTCTCCCTCCTTCCTTCCTTCCTTCCTTTCTTCCTTCCTTCCTTCCTTCCTTCCTTCCTTCCTTCCTTCCTTTTTAAAGTGAATGGATTGTATTTCACAATTACCTTCATGTTTATTTGTGATCAAATAATTTTATGCTTCAAATGTTCTTTGGGAGAAACTTGTTCATCACAGCAGGCAAATGTCTTGCCTCCATAGCAGCTGTAAGAATTAAAACCACACCCTTAGCAACTTTGTGTTCACTTCTTAAATAGGAATGGTCACATGGGTGACAGCTAGTTCAAGTTGACAGTGTCCTGTAATCTCCTGAGGACGAGGACCACAGGAGCCAGGGAAGCTGTGAGATACTGACCAGTTTGTAGAGAAAATCTGAGCTGTGTAATGTTGCTGCCTGGTCAGCATCCATCAGATGATCTAGTACTCTTGTGATCCAATGAGATGAATCCTAATGACACAGCCCCTGGATGAGCTTGCTGGGTGCTACAGTTGGAAGTTGGGACAACCCGGCCTAGGGTTAGGGATTGGTTTTTTTTAGACTGCTCTCAGGGGACATGTTGGGCATTCTAGGATCCACCTTGAATTTTGTCAGGTAGAAGAGTTTATAGTGGTGTCTTCAGGGAAGCAGATGGCTGTTCTGTTCAGTCAGTTGATGTGTGTGTGTATGCTTCCTCTGTGTCACGGCATTGTTTGGGGCACTGGTGATTGGCTGTTCACAAGGTAGACTGTGCGTCTTCTCTCTGGAGTTTAGACTATAGTAAGGATAGCAGATAAGAACGGGAGCTTTAAGAGGGCTGAGATCTTTGCTTACATCACTTGCTGCTGTATCTCCACTCCTTAGCACCCTAGATCCTAATGGGTACTTACTATGTATGTGGTTATGAATAGAGCAAGCAGATAAACCAAGTAGAAAAATACAATTTCAGGTAATCATAAATGCTATGAAAAAAGAGCAGGAGAGAGAATTGGGGAGAGAAAATAAGAGAAGGTGGGAAAGGGAGAGAGAGTGCCTATTTTCTATAGTGACCCGAATGGAATAGGAATCTGGGGGTGGAGTAGGGTGGGGTGGGATGTTCACAGAGAGAACAGGGAAAGGCGAAGCCTTTGGGGTAGGCTGTGCTTGGCATGGTGGTGAAGCAGGAAGGACTCCAATTTGGCTGAACTTGGGCTGCAGGTGGTTTAGGGAGGGAGTGGTGTGAAATGAGATGATTGTGTAGGTGGGAACCAGATTGTATAGGGCCAGGATAGAGTTGGGGTTTTACTGAAGAAGTCTGAGTGTAATAGTTGATGTGATCTTGTACTTTAAAGTCATTCTTTCGGATCTTGAATGGAGAATAGAAATGAGGGCAAGAGGACTCCTAAGGTAACTTTTGGGAGATCAGGCAAGGGGGAGGTGTGACCTCAAGTGGTCAGGTTCAGATTATGCTTAGAAATTAGAGTCTGCAATTCAGTTTGGGATATGAGCAAAGAGAAGAGGCAAAGCTAAGCTGGGAGTTTTGGTAAATGATGCCACCATTTATTGAGACAGGAAACAAAGAAGGACCCTAAGTATTTGGTTTCGAGGCTGGCTGTGTAGCTCTGTTGACATGGTGCTCAGCTGACATGAGCAAAACTCTGGGTTTGATTCCTCAGCACCATATAAACTTAATCCAACACCCAGGAGCTAGAGGCAAAAGGATATAAATTCAAGGTCAGTCTGAGCTGCATAGTAGATTTGAGGCCAGTCTGGACTATATGATCCTCAGAAAAAAAATTTGTTTGAGCTTTATTAATTTTGATATGCCCATTCAGCATTCTCATAGAGATAGAAAGTTCTCTGAGGTTGGAAATAGTATCTATGAGGGTCATCAAATCTAGACGGTATTTAAAGCTAAACTGAATGAGGCCATTTAGGAAGAGAAAGAAGATGTTAGAATTTTGACAGAGAAAGGAAAGACAAAGGGTGAATTTTCTGGACAAAAATCCAAGAAGTAAATCAAGCTCGGAGTGTGAAGGCACTTGGTGCCAAGCTTGACAGCTGGAGATCACTTCTCGAGACCCACGTGGTAGAAGGAGAGATCCAGCTCTCCTCAGGTTGTTCTCTGTCTTCTTACACTGTAAAGTGTGTATGCATGTGCATAGGTACACGAAATAAGTGCAATGAAAAATTTTAAAAGAAGTAAACGAAGGATACATGCAAGAGAATGTGGTATGATTTCACTGTTTGTAACTAGGAACTGTGCAAATCAGATGAAAGCCATAACAAAGCCTCACCTTAATTAAAAAGTTAAAACACTGTGATTTCTCCAAATCAAGAAAATTCATTCTAGATTTGCACAATATAAAATCTGGTCTGCCGAGAGAATTTGTAAGTTGCATTCGTGCCCTTGGCAGATGCCTGCCTTTGGCTGACAAGCAGAAAGACCAGGGTCCCTTGCCAACAACCTGTAAACTACGTTGTTCTGTATATGGGTTGGAGCTCTGACAAGCTGGATTTGTGGCTGACTTTAATTCATTGCTCATACACTTAAGATTTCTTTCATCCCATAATTACATTATGCAAGAGTGATAATCTGAAGGCCCACTGAGTGCAAACTGTCTGAAAAGCAGTTTGCTGTCACAGAGAGATGTGACAAAATTCCATGGAGAGGAGCTGGAGAGGTGGCTCAGCAGTTAAGAAAACATACTGCTCTTGCAGAGGATCAGAGTTCGGTTCCCAGACCTCACATTAGGAAGTTCAAAACTGCTCGTAAGTCCAGTGCTGGGGGATTTGATACCTCTGACCTTTTAATACACCCACACACATGCACATATCCACACACAGACACACATCTGTGTAGGCGGATTTTTCTGTCCCACCTGCCAGCTATACGGAGACTTTTTATTAATTATGAAAGCTTGGCCGATAGATTAGGCTTGTTACTAACTAGCTCTTAAATTAATCTGTGTTTATCAGTCTACTTTTTGTCTCCTGGCTTTAGTACCTTTACTCTGTACTGCCCCCGCTGCTCCCTCTGAGTCCTGGTATCTTCTTAAGACACG